TAACTTTGCTTTTTCCCAGGACTTGAAGTGCTCATTATTTCAACTGTTAGGTGGAGTTGCTTATAATTACTTTGATTATTTCGCAGGCAGAAGCTGCAGCTGCTGCTGGTGAAAGTAGCTTTAAATCCTTCATGGTTGCTGTGCAACGTTGCGGTAGCAGTGTTGCAATAATTCAGCAGGCATGTTGTGCTACTTTAATGTTTAACAGTGCGTTTCAGTTATTTCATATGAAAGGCTTCTACACTCAACCATCGAAGATATACAAACAGTTTGATCTTTTACTGTGGAATTTCTATAGTGTGGGTCATATTCTAAATCTTATAGTTTTCTTTACAGTATTTTGCAAATTCTATATCTCGGCTTCTCCTACCAGTGGATGGTGCCCATGCTGCTTCCTGTGAAGAAATGTCAACTGCTCTGTCCAAAGCAGAAACAGCTGCTTATAAAGGACTTCAGCAGTGCATTGAAACTGTGATGGCTGAGGTTAGTTGTTTTTTGTGTAATCTACAAACAGATCCATAAGTACCAATGCTGAACAGGTGTAGGAGTCATGCTTAAAGTTGTCTTTCTATCGTTATTAAAAACTCTGATGTGGCTTTTTTTTCAGGTTGAAAGACTACTTTCATCTGAGCAGAAGGCTACCGATTATAAATCACCTGATGATGGAATTGCTCCTGATCACCGCCCAACAAACGCCTGCATAAGGTTGGTCTAGCTCAAACTCTACCATCCTCTACTGGTTATAGATAGATGCTTCACTTTATTTTATTTTTCATGTGAAAGCCAGAAGGATGCTTGCTAGTGTACATAGTAGTTGGCTGAAACCATTTTGCACTGCATCTATTGGCTGCGTCTTAAATTGTGCTCTTCGCTATTCTGTTTTTCTGAGTTACTTGTTGCTATGATCTTGTTCAGAGTCGTGGCTTATCTTTCCCGGGTACTTGAGTCGGCCTTCACTGCATTGGAAGGTCTTAATAAGCAAGCCTTCCTGACTGAACTGGTATGGTTTCTGTCACCAAAGATCCCACTAAGACTTTTTCTTATTATTTTATTTGTTCTAAATGCTTTACTCTCCCTGATCTTTGCTATTCATTTCTTAACTCACCAAAGACTTTAGAAAGAAGAAAAACCATTCTAAGCTTTAGTTCTTGTTAGATATCTTTGATTATGCCATATGCTACTAGATTTTGCCTATGGATCGTAGTTCAGCATTATAATAATCTAATTGAATGATCCTTTTAAAAACCAACTCAGTCCTGTTCTTCGCCAATGTTGCAGCCAGAAATTAATAGTTATCAAGAACAGTCTGCTTTCTGCATCATATGACTGAATCACTGATGCTTTATATCGAGAAGGATGAGTTTTGAATTGCATTTTTTTTTTTTTGGTTATTTCCAGGGAAATAGGTTGGACAAACTACTACTAACTCACTGGCAGAAGTTCACTTTCAATCCCAGGTATGAACCTCAGCTCTTGTTTGTTTTTGCATATGAAGAATGAAAAAGATATTGTAGTGTCTGTAACCTCTGTACCATAGATGCAAAAACAAATTCAGGACCCTAATAACCAAATAGAGATAACTATGCAAAATTTGCTAGCTCTGATTTTCCATGCAATGTTAAGACTTAGCCGCACCTCTTGGTAAAAAAGTTGAGTCAGATCAAACTCTTGACCACATTAACTATAAGCAGATCCAGTGCCATATTAGGTCTGTGTGAGTAAACATTTTTTGTTCTGTGATTTCCAACACTTGGTTGACAGTGGAGGACTGAGGCTGAAGCGTGACATTAGCGAGTATGGAGAATTTGTTAAAAGGTTCAGTGCTCCATCTGTGGATGAGAAATTTGAGCTTCTGGGAATGTAAATATCATTCTTGAGCCTGACATG